TCTCCCATGAAAAGTTAAGCTATTATCTTAAATTCAGTTATTAAAATTATATTAGTTCAATTACAATCAAAGTTTAATTCAATTCAATTAAATTGCAATCCTATATAAGAAGGCAGATTATTGTATTATAAACTTTAAAATGAAGTTTAATGAAAATGTGAGTTAAATTCAATTTAACATGTCTTCATTAACATTAGGATTTGGATTAAAATACAAGATACATGTACATGTATATCAACCAAAACCAAAACTTAAACATATATTTCTTATTGTTTTTAACATTAAATTTACAATTAACAATTCAGGTTGTGGTTACACATTACACAGACAACTAAAGTTTGGTTGAACACAGAAGGGTGAACCCAGAAAATAAGTCAAGACTAGGCAGAACTGAACTTGATTAAGTTTCAACTCTAGGTGGCGCTGTTAAAACAAAATGCAAATAATCTGGGTTCAAGTTCAAATCACAATCCTTCTGCATTCAAAATAACTCCCAATGGTTTCCTCAATAGCAAAGCATAAAGAAGTGCAACTAAATTATACAACAGTTTCTGTATTATTATATCTCACACGGTTCACTCTATCAACAACAATTTATTAACTCATAACAACCTACTGAAGGAGGTTAAAGGTTACAACAACAACAAAAATTACAGATAAAAATTAATCAAATTACAATGGCTAATAGTTTAAAGACAACCAAAAACAGACTAAATTGAAGTTAGTAACGGAAATATATAATAAAGTAAAATGAAACACCAACAAAAAACTATAAACTGAATATAAAAACAAAAACCCAATGTCAATGACTAAGTATATAGGTGCTCCTGTCTAATAGCAAAGCTGTATTTCAGATATTGTGCCAGAGGAATTGCTAAGTTATTATTTGACATTACTTTTATGAATTTATTTTCAGGTGTGAGATTAGTAAAGTCAGGAATAATCTTTTCAGCTTCATTGTATAAAACGACCTTCTCTTTACTATATACTGGGCTTATTATGAGGAAGTGATGTTCATCTTCAATATCATTTTTATTACACAATTTGCAGATTCTGTCGCTACTTTTGATTCTGTTGTGTCTTCCTTTTTCAATTTCTAAACTGTGATTGCTCAGTCTGAATTTAGTTAGGGTACTTTTCAGTTCTTTATTTTTTAGCTTAATTAAGTAGTTTTCCAAAATGAAGTTTGTTTTAAATTTTTTGTAAGTCCTCAGTTTGTTTTTTGTATTAGTGTTTTGTCTGTTATCATCATTAATTGAGTTAATCCAATGCTTTATAAATACATTTTTTATTTTATCATATATCCGTGACATTTGTGACGATTTTAGATCATTATTGTCAATATCTGATAGTGTTGTATTTGTAGATTTCAGTACTGAGTTAACCCAACACTTGATCGAAATCAGATCTCGAACCGCGAAACGTGACATCATTTTGGTACCTTTTCGTAGTGTCTCCGAAAACTTTAACTTACTTTACAAGTACGGTACATCCGACAGCTGTGCCAAAGAATGATAGAGGTACTGCTAGTCTTGCCAATCTGCCTATGACACCCATGCTCTTGATGCTCAAAATACAGTGAACTCAAGTTGAACCCGGAAGTAAAACATTGTGACCTTGCTACTGTAGAAGTAGAAATTATTCGCGTGGTTTTAATTTCGTATATAAAAAAAAATTAAAGGAATCACTACACGATGATAAGAAAGGCGGAAACCACAAAAATAAATTACGAACCTTTAGAGAAATAAAACAAGATTTCACCTTTGAAAATTATCTGGAAACTATTAATCCAAAACACAGGTCGGCGATGACCAAGCAGACAATTACTCTGACTACGAAATGTTATGAACATACTAAAACTAAAAGATAAACAAATATTAAAAGAGTTAAGTAAATTTATTTACCAGTGCTTTATTATGAGGGAAGACAGTTTTAAAAAAGTATTTCCAGCTGCCTCATAACAAAGAAACACTATTTTTTTTGCTATGCATGTTTTTTATAAATTATCTTCTTTTTTTCTAACTGTTATGTATTTCATTAGTTTTAGTTATATTTGTAATTTTGTTTTGTCATTATTTTTATATATATATTACCTTTATTGTATTTATCAGTACCCCATTGTGGATACGATTCCAATTATTATTATTATTATTATTATTATTATTATTATTATTATTATTATTATTATTATTATTATTATTATTATTATTATTATTATTATAGGTTGTTTTAATGATGCATATCAATTGCACAAAAAAAAAATACAATTCTGAATTGACTTCATACGTTAGTAGGATTAAAATAAAAATCATGACTGTGGAATATGATTCAGAACGTAAGCAGAACTTTTTCGTTCATGGAGCGCCCTCTGCAATCGCCGTGATCCTTAATAACAAGTGCCATATTTGAGATGTAAAGCAAACATAGTTAGTCACTGGTTCCCGGCTCTGACCCAACACCTGTGACCCGCCGAGATCGCATTCAATACACAGATACAGGTATGTGTCATAATGCGATTTATATATGGACATTTCTGCTTACAACGTTTCCGAAGAGGATTTATATTATACTAGCCTTGCGTACAGTGCTGTGTGCACGGGGACGCGTTCGGTTGATAGATGTCCCCACCACAGCCCTGCGTACAGTGCTGTGTGTACGGGGACGCGTTCGGTTGATAGATGTCCCCACCACAGCCCTGCGTACCTCCATAGACAAAGTCCGGGAGCGCACCGTAATTGATGCGCAAGTTGAAAATATAGTTTCCCAGCCGAAATCTGTTGAAATGACGATAGTTATCCGTAACAACCATTACAAAGTTTATCTGAAACTGAAATGTCTTTAAAAAGTGACTAGTAAAG